TGGATCACCTGAGGTTGGGAGTTTGAGACCAGTCATGCCAACATGGTAAAACCAAAAAAAAAAAAAAAAAAAAAAAAAATAGCTGGGCGTGGGGAAGCATGCCTGTAATCCCAGCTACCCGGGAGACTGAAGCAGGAGGCTCACTTGAACTGGGAGGTGGAGGTTGTGGTGGGCAGAGATCAAGCCATTGCACTCTAGCCTGGGCAATAAGAGTGAAACTCTGTCTGAAAATAAAATTAAATAAAATAAGACCATTAATAAACAGATTTTTCTGACTACTTCCAATTGTTTGTCTGAAGTTGAAAGATTGTTATGGGAAGCTGCCAATATTTTCAAAGAAAAATTAGGAAAAGTTAGGCTAAGGAAAATTTTTAATGTTGTCTTTCATCATAAGGGCTACAAAAAGTCTTTGTAATAGAGAATGCAATTCTGTGACTAGGCTCTCATCCTCAGAAATGTTCCCTCTGTGAATATAAAATTGTTATTTGCCTATCTCCTTCATTCATTTAGCAGTAAGCCAAGACGATGCTGGAGATCTCAAAAATGGATGCATGAGAGGCAGCCCTTTCTTTTAAGGACCTCTCTACTGGGTGGGAGACAGAAACAAATAACCAAGAAGGAATGATTAGCTCTACGTAACAAATGGGGACCGCTTCCTGAAAGTGAAGGTACCTGAGTAGGTCTTGAAGGATGATGAGGAATCTACCAAGTGGACTGTGTGGTGGGGGCAAGAGTGGGGAGGAAGATAATGGAGGCTGGGCACAGAGAACACATGTGCAAGATGACCTCGCTTAGACCTGTAAGTATTACCTAATGCACTTGCTGTATATTCATCACTTGGAAACTGAGCATATCACCACCAAATGGAACTCTTCTGTTCCTATTTTTCATAGAACTTTATGAAACCAATTCTAATACAGCTTTTACCCCTACTACTCCACTGATTTTTTTTTTTAACTGATTTTGCGGTGGTCACCAGTGACTTTCATGTTGCAAGTTTAATCCAGTAGACGCTTTTCAGAGATCATACTACTTGACCTCTCTAATCAAGCAACACAGTTGACCATTCCCATTTTGGCCATACTCTCTTCTTGGAGTTCTCCCTCTACCTCTCTGGGCCTTTGTCCTCCTCTACAAGGTCTCAAAAAGCAGAAGTTCCTCAAGGATAACCCCAACCCTCCTTTCCCCTAACCCAGGTAATCTCCATTTCTGTAGCTTTAAATTCAACCCATATATTCATGACTTCCAAGTGTGTATCCCCAAGACGACCTCACCTCTATGCTCATCAAATCCAACTGTTTCCTCAATATCTCTATTTGCAAATTTCTCAAGCACCTCCAAGTTAAAATTGAAAAGCAGAACTTATTTCAACTACTCCCCCTGAAACCTCCTTGTCTTACTGCCAGTCCAGTCACAATCCACCATTCGGCTGGCCTGTTACTAGGAGTCATTCTTGCCCCCACATCCAGTTACCAAGTTCCCTCAGCTCCACCTCTGCCTGTTTTTCCACATCTATCTCTACTACTGACACCCTAGACCAGGACACCATCTTCTTGTACCTGGACATCCACTCTCCAGCCCTCTGCACCAGTACATTTTCCACACAGCAGCTATAGCGACAGTTTTAATGATTTCATTCCCGTCTGTAGCCCTTCTGGTGGTCATCAGTTCTCTTCACAAATATTCCCAACTCTTACTTTCTCCTTCTGGCACATGATAGGTCTCTGAAGTTAGGTGGGGCGTGTGATTTTCTTTGGTCAAGGAGTTGGGAGCAAAAGTGGTATGTATCACTTCAGGCAGAAGCTTTAAGAGCCACATGCACTTCACCTTTTTCTCTTCATCTGCCCTGACAGCCATGATGCTCCAGGTAGTGGCTACTCCATTAGTCCAGGTTCCAGGCCTAGGATATGATGGCAAGATGAATATGTAGCCTAAGTAAGAAACAAACATCTATAAAGCTATATCATCAGCAGCTCCTGACTTCACTAAGAATGAAATACCAAAAAAGCCTTACCATAATGAACAAATCACAATAAAACTGGCCTCTGTGTATCTATCCGATCTTATCTTGGGCCTGTCCTTCCTGCTCACTGTTCCACTCGCACTGGCCCCCTTTGCAGTTTTCAGAACAAGTCAATCCTGTTTCCACCCTTTGATGCAATGTTCTTTGCATGGTTTGCTCCCTCTTAACCTTCAGATCTCAGCTTAAAAATTACTTCCTCGAAGACATCTAACTACTTTATCAAGGTTCCTCACTAACTCCTTATTACAGCACCCTAACCATTTCCTGCTCAGCACTTCGTAGTCTATAATAATTGTCTCTTTGACTGACTGTTTCCCCATTAGAAGGTAAGCACCTTGAGAAGAAGGGCTCACTAGTATCTCCAGTGGGACTATAGTTTCTACACAGTAACCTATATATGGTAGGCACTCAATAAATACTCATTAAGTGAACAAATGGAAGACTCCAAAAGTGGGACATAAGACTACAAACATCATTATCACATATCACAGGAGCAAGTGGTGCTGCTAAGGATGAGAAGAGCAAGGGAAGTCACATTTCCTGAATGACTACCCTGAACTAGCACTGCTATAGGTACTTTACATATGCTATCTCTCTAGATTCTCATAATCCTAGGAAGCCGATATCAGTATCTCCACTTTATCAATCAGGCCACTGAGACTTAACCTGTTCAAGTAGCACAACTAGTAACAGCAGTTTTAACTCAAAGTAAAAGTAATCTCTTTCCTCCTAACCACAATATCAGAAGGGGTAAAAACAAACAAACAAACAAAACTATTTTATCACTAAGTACTTTTCTATTATGCACATAAATTACATCATATAGGAACATATTTCTACCCCAGGAGCCAGTTTTGCTTTTTCCTTTTCGTTTTTTGGTTCATCCTAAAGCCTATTTCAGGTATCTCTTGTTATCTGGGATAACTGAGAACAGGATGATGCAGCAAATCCAAACTTACAGATACGTGAGACATTTTGTTGAAACTCTTTTCTTGAAGTCTTTGTCTTCTCAGAGTAAGAAGCTACAATGATTAGGAAGTAGGACTGTGTTCTGAATTCATTTTATGGAACTTGAGATCAACTTCTACTGGCTTAATGTATCCTCTTGCCATATCACCAAATGCTTTTCTGCTGGTCACAGAACATGCAAAGCTAAATGGTCTTAGGAGCTCTGATCCGTACTGCTGACTATATTAGCAAGGGCTCCAAACACCTAAACTAATGAAACCAGCTGGTTTTCTACCTCTGACCACCTTTGGGTGAAGTAATGAGTTAACAAAGAAAGGTGAGGCCTCGATAATTCCCAAACCATTCTACTGGGCTCTGAGGAGACTCACAGGATTCTGAGCAAAAGGGACCTTTGGGACCGTCTACTTAAATCTCCTAACAGTTTAGCAAACAGGTCCAGGCAGGCAGTTATTTGCCTAAGAAAAGCGAGTCTCCTGGCTTCTAGTCAAGTACTCTTTCTATTATACCACACTGCCTCCCCAATCAAAAAGTAGTGATTATGTCCAGATAACATTCAGTTTCTTTTTTTTTTTTTTTTTTTTTGGGACGGAGTTTCGCTCTCGTTACCCAGGGTGGAGTGCAATGGCGCGATCTCGGCTCACCGCAACCTCCGCCTCCTGGGTTCAGGAAATTCTCCTGCCTCAGCCTCCTGAGTAGCTGGGATTACAGGCACGCGCCACCATGCCCAGCTAATGTTTTGTATTTTTAGTAGAGACGGGGTTTCACTGTGTTGACCAGGATGGTCTCGATCTCTTGACCTCGTGATCCACCCGCCTCGGCCTCCCAAAGTGCTGGGATTACAGGCTTGAGCCACC